CGCGGGAGGGCGCGGGAGAGAGGAGGGCGGTGGGCGCTGCGGGGCGGGCAGCGGGCAGGTGAGGAGCGCGGGATGGCTGGAGAGCGGGGCTGGGGACAGGGGGGCACAGGGAGACCTCTGCCCGGGTGCTGGGGTCCGCAAGGTGGGACGTGGCGCGCAGCAAGGTGGAGATTTGGGCGGCTGGTGGGAGGATTAGAGAGATTGACTTTTAGAGGGTTAATCCTGTCCGCTGAAACTGGGGATTTGGAGTGAAGCTTGGTGTGTGCGTGCGTGTATGTGTGTGTGTGTGTGTGCAAAAGGAATCTGATGCATCCGTGACTGACACGTAAGGACTCCAGCGTGTCGGTGGCCGGATTGGCTCGGAGTCCGCAGTGTGGCCAGCGAGCGGCTGGCGTGGGATACCTGCTGGGTGACTGATGTGCGTGACTGAGCCAGAGGCTGGGTGCGGCTTGCGGCCCCTGGATGGCACGGATGCTTGAGCCACCTCAGCTGTGCCCTGCGGCGGGGGTTCACCCCTCAGTTCCTGCACTGTGGGAGCCTCAGACGTGTTTACTTTGGCCGTGACCTCTGCTGGTAAGCCGAAATGAGCAGAAGGTCATGTTGTGAAATGGTTTTTTTTTTTTAAATCTAAGCCAAAGCCCTCTTTGAATTGCAGCGGTTGGAGTGAGCCGTGGAATTTTTGCAGAAAGCCCTTCCTAGAATCCATCTTAAGGAGGCAGGGTGGCGGTGGCCCAGAAAAGCACGGGCTCTGCAGCCGGCTCTGCTTCGAGGTGTGCACAGCCTGTGCCGCCTCTAGCCTCGGTTTCCTTACCTGTGAAAAGGGATGTGGGTGGATTCCTGGGGTCTCTGTGTTGCAGCCTGTGGCTTAAGGAGAACTGAAATAATGGCTGAGAGAACGCTTGAGATTGAAAAAAACATTTTCAAGATAGTTCTTTGAAGCATTTTTAAGCGAGGACATGGCTAATTTATCTCATGCTGCATTTTTAAGGAGAGAAAAATCTCTTCCCCTGGGTTGTCCTGTAAGGAAAACAAAAGCTGAACACGATGATAAAGGTGGAGCCATCTTCCTGGGCATTGGATCCGTGTTTGCTTTTCTGTTGGCAACAAGCCTGGTGCACCAGGATATTAATGAATAATTAAGAACCTGTCTAGAAGAGGAGGGATGTTAAGGAGAAGAGTGTGTGATCCATCAGAAAAAGAAAGACTCATCTTAAATATAAGATGTCTACTTCGTAGGGAGACAGAAAAACAAGTCAAATTGGTACAGGAGAGGTAAAATGGAAGTCTGAAGGAGAGAACTTGTAAGCTGGAGTGTGCCGAGTGGTAAAGAGCTCTGAGGGTGTAATGCTTGATGGTAGTAGAAGAAGCCCAAATGAAGAGGGCTTGGAGGAGCAGGTGGCCTTCCTGCTGATGGGAGGAAGCCTGCATGTGTGTATGGGCGCATGCCGCTGAGTAGGTCAGAAGGGTAAGCTCTTGGGGCAAGAGTTCGGGAGCTCCTTGCAGTGACAGATAAGAACAGCTCTGACCGGGAAGAGCCCGTGTTCAGAGATGTGACTTCTCAGAAACAGCCTGGAAGGCGGGGGCAGGAGCTGAGAGGGAGAAACAAGTTTCCTTTTGTTCTCTTTTCGATGTCCAATTCTGAGAAGGAGCAGAGAGTGCAGCATCACGAGAAGGAGATTTCCAGAAGCAAGATTCCCCGGTTGATTCTGCGGCCCCATCTGCCCAAGCAACAGCACAAGGTGTCCCCGGCCTCAGAGTCCCCCTTCTCGGAGGAAGAGAGCAGAGAGTTCAACCCCAGCAGCTCCGGGCGCTCAGCGAGGACCATCAGCAGCAACAGCTTCTGCTCAGGTATGGTCCCCACGGAGCCACTGGGGTGGGCAGTGTGCGCCTTGTGGGTGGACTTGGGGTGGACCCCGCCTGGGCCCTGATGGCCTAGCACTGGACTTCCACTTGGACGACTGCCGTAGGGTTTAGCCTTTTGGCCTGTTTTGACCTACAGGTAACAGCGGTTTCATGTGGCTCAAGCCAGTGGAATTTTGTACCTGTTTTTCTATGTTCTTTTTAGTTTATAACTTGAGTATGAAATCTAACTTCCTGAATCTGTTGGTGAAGCCAGTGTGTCCTATTGTAAATCCAGAATGGATATTGGGTTGATTTTTATACTCACAACTTCTGTAAGCCTGTGTACTTTTGGTTATGGAATTCTCAAAATAAAGTCATTTCTAATAAGTGAGAGTGAGAACAAGTGAGAACAAGTTGACCTTGTTGTTTAGTGGGGAATAGCACAGGCTTTGTGATGTGCTAGGCTTGGTTACGGGAAGGCTGGAATCCCGGCCCATTTACTACTTGCTGTGGGGCTTTGGGCAAGTTACTTAACTGCCTCAAGCCTCAGTTATTACATCTGTAAAATGGAAAGATTATATAGCTTGAGTATCTCTTATCCAAAATGCTTGGGATCAGAAGTGGTTTTTTAGTAAATTTTATTGGTATACTTTTGATATATGAAATGGTCATATTCATCATAGGGAGTTTGTACCTGTATATAATATGTCTCACTTCTTCTTTTTCCCCATCCCCCTCCCGTCCCTTCAACCCCTCTTCCCCACCTTATTTACACAAGCTTTTGTTGCCATTTTTTTCATTCTATTCTCTTTTCTTTTAGCCTTTCACTTTCCTCTTCCCCCTCTTTCCCCTTCCCATCTGAACATTTCCTTCCTGCTTCCCAGGATCTGTCTTCCCTTTCGGTCCTTATTCATTCCCTCAATTTCTCACACCAGAGAAACAATGCCGTATGTAAATATATGTGGTCAGTTTAGTTCACTTAAAAGCACAGGGCCTAGAAGTGTATTGGATTTCAGATTATTTTAAATTTTGGAAAATTACACATAATGAGATACCTTGGGGATGATAGCCAAGTTTAAAAGTGAAATTCATTTATGTCCCATAATATATATATATATGTATATATGAAATTGATTACATATATATATATAGAGAGAGAGAGAGAGAGGGAGACTGTGATACAGTATAGGGCCAGGCCCTATTTTATGTGTATAGCAAATAGAACAATGTTATACAATATTTTAGTGCACCTGCCTTTTCACATGACCTGTCACAAGAAGTATGAAATTTTCTACTTATGATTTATGTAGGTGCTCAAAAAGGTTCACATTTTAAAGCATTTTGGATTTTCACATTAGGGATGCTCAGCCTGTGCCTACTTTGGAGAGCTGCCGTGAGGTTGAATGCTACCATCTACACGAATGTCCTGTTAGCTCCGAGCCTGGCTTACAGAGGTATTTAGTAAGTGAGGGTTCTTAGCAGGATGGCCTGTGGATGCCAGTTTTGGCATATCATGAAGGAAGTTTCCTCAGAGTTGTGAGCATACTTGATAAAGGCACAGATCTCTTCATAGCTCCTGAAAGGAACACGGTTATCAGTTGGCTCAGCCGGTGACGCTCGCTGAGGCACGTAACTTAGAAGAACTTGCACTCCTTGAGAAGCATGGGGAATTTGGGGAAGATTTAAAGTGACTGTCTTACGATTAATGAAGAATATGCTTCAGAGTAGGTAATGCTTTAGAACTTAGAAACGTGTTTTGAAGACCAATATGTGCATGCGAAGGGGTGTGTGACTAAACATGGTATATTCATGCTCGAATTTTGCAGGATGCAAAATTCCCTTGGAAACTACATTTTCAAATATTTTTTTATAAATACAGCTTTGGATGTATTCCATACGCTCCCAAAATAATTCCATTCTGTGTGTAAGTTATATGTTAGAAATGTCTTGCTGCCTGCTTTTTATTTTTTTCTCTGTGGAACCTCAAATTCTTGATTTGGTTCTGAAAAATGCAGTCTAAATATCACGTTTCGAAACGTATTCCCTGCCACTGAAGGATGTGAAGCTGGTTTAAAATGGAAGCCCGCTGATGGTTTGCTTCCCATTCTGCCAAGAAGGGAACCACAGAGTACCTGAGGAGCTGGAGCAGTTGAGTTTCCCAGAGCCTAGAGTCAGATTTGCAGAATGTAGTGCTATTTACTTTAACTCCATTTTGGATCTTAGAGCTCACTCTGGTGGTGGGGGGACATCATTTCCACCTGACCCTATTTGTTTACACAATGAAATCCCACATTTATTCCCCATATTCGCCCATGAAATTAATGTCTCTGTGACTAACTGCAGTGTGAGTAGTTATCAGAAAATACACACTTGGCCAAAACAAAAGAAAAAAAAACCCTCCAGACATATTTTAGAAAATATAAAGACAGATCAATAAAATTATTAATTTTAGTCATGAATCATTCTTTTGCAGACCCATTTCCTGACTCATTCCTGTTTCCCAAAAGACCTGTTTCCCACTAAGGCCATAATGGTGTACATGAAAATCGACACTCGATATTGATCCTTCTGCCATTAACTAGCTGAGAATTGAGTGGCAGAAACATATAATTACGGTCATCTGTAAACCGACCTTCCAGTCGCAGCCTTGCACTGTGTCTCTAGGCAGGACTCCCTCCACTCCAGCTGAGCTTCTCCCTTATCTTTCAGTGCTGACAATTCCCCAAGGTTTGGGTCTGATGCCTTTTCCTTTGCTAGAGAGCTCTGATGAACCCTATAGAGGCTTTTGAGTGCAGTGCAGACTAAAATTGACAGCAGCAAGGCCTTTGGGGGCATGTTAATGATGCTTTAGGAGGTCAGTCAGTAGGTAGAAAATAAATGGGTTTGGGACTACAGGGAGCATTACTGCTGCAGGCAGTGAGGTAGAGAATGTAAAACATGTCCAACCAGCAGGGGGAAATAGCTGGTTTTAATCCAACCACTCTGACACTGAGGCCAGAATATGTGCAGCTTAATCATGGCAGTTAAATTGGAGAACAAGGTACACACAGACATTGAAATGCCATTCTCCGCTAGCATGAAACTAAAATAACTCAGAGGTGTCTTTTGTCACTGAAGCTTCATAGCTGTGCAGGACTCCTTCTGCATCAGCTGTGTTCCTTCTAAATCACTTCAACTAGTTTAAAAGGGGAAATTCCTAGGTAAGGGGACTCTTACAGTCTGAAAGTGAAATTACAGAAGAAGATATTATTCAAATAGAGTGAAATTGGTTATGAAAACTGCATTTTCCCCCAAAACTGTAGAAAGGTATTAACTATGAAGAGCATATTTTCTAAAACATTCATGTTTAAAAGAAACAATATGTTGAGATTACATAAAGTTCAACATACTTAATATAAGAGATTATTTTGATTCTTGATTGTGATTTTGGCTTTAAAAGCCAAACAAATATCCATGATAATGGATGGTACTTACACTTTGGCAAAATAAACGACAGCTGTAGATTGATGTTTCTTTTACTCTCACCATACTTTTTTCTTACACTTTTACTGAGTAGTGAAATTAAAAAACTGGAGCCATTTCTGAAGTGACCTGTCCATTTTTGCCTCCTTTCTCTTTCTGTCCCCCACTCTACTGCCTCCCTCCTCTCTTCCCGTGGGAGCCTTGGCATGGAACACTTAATAACTGGATATTCTGTATGCTAATTTGTATGTTGTGTCTATCTCATTTCAGAGGGAAGGAGCTGTATGTGACCTTTTGCAATTCATTTGGGGTGTGTCCCCAAAGAGCGCTCATTTGAATAGCTTCTCATTGGCAAAATCTCTTTAAAGATGCGTGTGTTTTGTGTGCTTCCTCACACACAAGTGTTTTTGTACTTGGGACATCATTCTAATGTTAAGACAGACCATTCCGTACAGTTTCGGGCCAGTCTGAGAACCACGCCCTTAGCTGGAGATGGCTAGGTGTATGTTGTTTTGGAGGCCAGGCCCTACTGTATGTGTTAGCAAACAGAACATTTTTTAAAATGGTGATTAATGCCTTATTTAAATAAAAGAATTCGGGCTGGGGATTTAGCTCAGCGGCAAAGCGCCTGCCTGGCAAGCGCAAGGTCATGAGTTCAGTTCCCGGTACCGGAGAAAAACCAAAAAAACAAAAACATAAATAAAAGAATTCATAGGAAGTACAACTGTAGAAATAGTGTACCCGCTTTCATGTCCTCCCCTTTAAAACCAATATTTTGTTGTTTAAACAGAGATACTTTGTTTTTTAAACATGGAATCATAGCACCCTATACCCTGTTTCTCCCTTATTTTCAGCATGCCCAAGACAAGTGATAAAGCCCACACTTGTAGTTTGTGCTCTGGGTGTGGCCCATCGAATGTTGGTTTCTGTGCATTTTTCTCCCCGCTTTGGCTAGTGAATTGTGTTTGTCATTATACCAGGACTCCAGCCATTGTCGGATGAGCTGTGACCCGCGTGAGTGCGTGAGGCACACGTATCAGTCACCTGCCCTGGTTAGCAGCATGCTGTGCATTCCTCTTTGCTTAGTTGAGGCAATAATTACCCCTCAGAACCAGGAGGCAGATGGATTGCTGGGTTTTAAGCTAATTCTCCATAGGGTGCCTTGTAAACATGGCAGGTGGAACAAATTATGCATATAGCACACTGATTGTTTTATGGGAGACCAGTAATTTCTCTGAGTTATTTTTATGTTTCTGATGTACACGCATGGGATCATGGCCAAGTTTGGGACTTACACTAAAAAAATACACCAGCTCACCAAACAAAATGGTCAGAATCAGAGATTCTTTGCCATCTGTTCTTCAGCAAGGTGTTTTATAGAAGGTATCTTTTAGTATTCACAATGGCATGAGAGAAATCTTTGAGTGCCAATAACTTAGAGGTAATCGTTGTTGTTGTGGGGAGAAAAATTAAGGCAAATTATAGCCTGACTATTGCCCTGCTGAGGCATGACAAAGCCTCCAGAAATTTGCCAGGCCTTGCCA